ACTGCAGTGATAAAAGATCGGCTGGACCAATTTCGGCCTAATACGCGAGGGGCGACAAAATTGAAGTCGTCAGCTGGTGCTTTAAGGATCCCCCGCCAACAACTTAAACCTCAGCAGTTTACTATGAACTGCCTTCCAGGAGCTATCGTTTTTTTCTTAAAGTGGCCACAAGGCGGCGGTAAAGGGCTACACACTTGCCCCAATCACCTCCCCTTTTCACCTGCCCCTTTAATTCCCGGTCTCTCTAATAGCCCAACTCGCCCCTGCACCCTATGCGGTTTTATTTCAACAATCCTGGTCTACCAAGGAGGTCGCTAGGGGCTCCTGTAGTCCAATCTGAATATTGGGCTCACATTTCCTGTGTTTTTGACAAGTCGATGGCAACAAAGAGCTGACAGTGGCACTCAGTTCGTGACCAGGGAGTAGGTGGGCCTCTTGCCTACTTCAAATAGTTATGCTTCTCTCCAAATCCTTGGCGACGTCTTCTCCGCGGAATTTGTCATGGTTTACATGGATTAAAGTACTTTTTGATTCTATCTCCACTGCCGTGCTGTTTGCTGTCGCGTGCACCTGGAGTCCTGATAAGAATGTGTGAAGGGGGGCGCCTGGGTGGCTCCGTCGGTTGAGCGTCGGGCTTGGGTTCAGGTTATGATCTTGCTCAGGTCATGATCTTGTGGCTCGTGGGTTCGAGCCCCGGGTCGGGCTCTGTGCCGACAGCTCAGAGCCTGGAGCCTGCTTTGGATTCTGTGTCTCCCTCTCTCTCTGTCCCTCCCTTGCTCATGCTCTGTCTCTGTCAAAAATAAATAAACATTAAAAAATTTTTAAAAAATGTGTGAAGGACACGTGGAGACAACCTGAGGGTTACAGTTAGCCTCCTTTAAGACAGTTCTGTGTGCCCAGAGGCCCCGTGAAACCCGCCAGGCTGGAGAAGAGAGCTTCAGCTGAAGCACCGTTTGGGGGGCTGAGATCACTTAGATTCCCGTGAGGAATTCTGGCTTTGAACTTTAGTCCCCTTTTGTGCCTTGAATGAATGGCACCTATGTGTATACTTGCTTTTTGCATGAAAAACGTGTGTAGGTTGTTCATTCCTTTGAGATGAAGGCACCAACCATAATTCCAATCATGCCCTCAATTCATTGGGAGAACTACAGACCGCGGCAGATTTACCGCTCCCCCTGCTAGGTTCAAAATCAGACTGATGAGCCGCTCGGTGAGCTGCCTGACCCCCAGGCATCCTCACAGCCAAGGCTGACTTTAGCTGGGCATTCCAGTCCTCTGTGCAGGTGAGAGGCTCCCCACTGGCTGGATGGCATCGAACACGATGAGGCCTGGATGAGGAGGATCCAAGGACAGTTGGAAATTCTCTCCCCTTTCTGGCACTAATTCCACTCTGAATGATTCTCCACGAGTGAGGAAAGGCAGCCATTCCTCTGATTAATGGTGTTTCTTTTTCCAGGTTTCCATTATCCAGATGGAGGGAGTTAAACGCCAACATGGCCACGCGAAAGGAGCTGTCAACGCTGAGGGCCCTTTACATGGTTTGACTCCTGCTTAATCGTAGCTGATTTGCTTGGTCCCTTGACCCCAGACAGGCATCGTGTCACCTGGCTACCGCCTGCCTGTCGAGCAAGGGCAGCTGGTTGCAATCCCTGCAGATGAAGATTCCCTTGGTTTTTTACGGCAGGGCCATGCCTCCCTTGTTCTCCCCCCCCCCCCCAAGGAATTCTGGCTTGGTAAGGGGAATCCTCAGGAGCCCCAGTGGAACAACCCTAATGACGTTGTGGGCAACCTGGTGAGGCTGGTTTTTGCACGAGCTACCCGTTCCTTTAGATGGAGCCCAGCCGGTGGCAGGTGGCACACAGAAATCTATTCACGTTCTGTGTTTCTGACTTCCACGGCCGTGTGACTGGGAAAAGAACTGTTCTTCTGTGTGAAGAGTCGCCCCCTTCCGAGGATGGTTGAGAACAGCCACTGTTACTTGAATCCTTTGTAGCTAGAGCCGGGGCCACTTCTCCAGGCTTTCCTCTGCCTCAGGGCTTCTGAGATCTGAGGGCAGGGGACGTCACTGCTAGTGGCCCTTTCCTCCAGGCTGTGCCTCAACCAAAGGTTCATTTCCTAAAGGCTTCGCCAAGACCTCTGCCAAGTCTAGAGGTTCAGGGACAAATGTCCTCGTCCTCTATTCAGTATTTTCCATGTTGCGTCCTCAAAGTACAGACCACTTACGACACTGCAGATCTAAATACTCCCACGCCAGAAGCACAAGGAAGTACGCCCCTCGGCTAGTTATTTTCGGTGCGTTTAAGACGCGATCTATTTTCCCTCCTCGGTCATACAATGCTGCCTAGTCCCCCTTGCCCCTGAAGCAGACAAGCACAGTTGGTCCTGCTCCTGTGCCTTTACGTACCTCCAAGGCTCTCAGAGGGCTTTTCCACGTGAGGGTGATGTTTATTCCAAGTTCATCCTTTGATGATGAACTTGCAGAAATCCGTAGCTCTTAGTTACGTCCTTTCTTTCCACGGCATTGCAAACACCAGAGAGGAAAGGGCACATGATCTGTTCTTGCTCTAAGGATGGGGATTGCCCTACAGGTGAGAAGTCCAATCAGGTATCTGGGGCTCACAGGCTAAAGGGAGGTCGAGAGAGGTGCTCCTCAAAAAAATCCAGTTTTGCTCAAGGTTTTTGATCCATGCGGTGGGAGTGGCCTGACACATTGACGATGGGAGAGCTTACCTATGGGAGCCCAGATGAGGTCCCTTTTTATCTGAAGTTTCCCTCTTTTTTTTTTTTTTT